TCCTGCCTCACAGTGAGTCATGGCTGGGGGATTAACAGAGAGAATTAAAAGGATTAATCCAGTGGCTGGCTGACAGGAAGTGCTCAGTGTTGCTGAGGTGGCTCATCCTTGCCCACCATTGTCACCATGGTGATGGCTCTGTGCTTTATCCCACCCCTGTTCCTCAGGTTCTCCTTTGTCTTAAGATTTAGTGGCTGGAAGAGGAGAATGATTGGGACAACCTGAGCTCCTTGTATGACTAGCAATTAACAATTTAAATTTCTTCTAGTTACCCCAAATTAATATATATTTGCATACTCGAACTCCTAATGTTTGTTTTTCCTGAATGTGGTAGAAACGCTGAGTATGGTGGAGTTGAGCTACTACTGAAGAACACTGAACATGTGAGGTTCAATATGGGTAGGCATTTTAAACAGCTCGAGAGATCATTACATTATTGATGGCGTTGTGCTGTGGTGGATCATGAGTAAAACATGCATATCAGGATTTTGTATGCAGTTTTTTACAGACAGCTATTTTTCTTATTTTGAGTTTAAAGAGAGCTGACAGTTGGACAGAAGTCTGATGAATGTTCACTGATGCAGTTTAAAAAAGAGTACACACCTAATTTTTACAACATGCCAAAACATCTCCCTTATTTTTAGGGGAACGATGATGCTGTGCATTCTGCGAGCAGGAATATTCTTAAAACACTTTTTAACAGAAGTATCCTGCTAATAAATGTTACTTCCAACCCAGGAAAATCTTCAAATTAAATTTAGCATATGACAAAAACAGGAAACTCAAAAAACAATTATTCTCTGAAGTGCTTGCTTTCCAATTTTCTGATATGTAAGAGTGTGTTCTATTATACGCTTTTCTTCCTTCCTTCCTTCCTTCCTTCCTTCCTTCCTTCCTTCCTTTCTTTCTTTCTTTCTTTCCTTCTTTCTTTCTTTCTTTCTTTCTTTCTTTCTTTCTTTCTTTCTTTCTTTCCTCACTGGGGATATAGCTCAGGGCCCTGCACACACCAGCATGCATTTTAACTATATTTTAACTATATTTGACTATATCCCAAGCTCTGGTCCCAGACTCTTTAGGTAGCCCTGGCTAGCTTCAAATACAAGACCCTCTTTCCTCAGCCTCCCGAGTGCTGAGCTTGCAAGTATGCATCACACTTCCCAGCTAAGACTGCTTCATTTATTTGTTGTATTTGCTTTTTATTTAGTGAGGCAGGGCTTCATTTACACTCATCCAAGGCTTGACTGAAGTTCATTGTGCAGCTAAGGATGACCTTGAACTTCTGACACTCCTGCTTCCACCACAAGATTTCTAGGATTACAGGGGAGTACCATGTCACCCATTTTATACAGTGCTACAGACTTTGCCCAGGGCCTGGTGCTCTCCCAACTCTACAACACCCTTGGTCTTCAGGATTTTTTAATAGGGATGATGCAATGCGAACACCGAGAACAATGGCTTCAGATATGTCTGAAGCCAGCTATGACTACCCTGCTCCCAAGCGTAACATTTCATGCTTCTGTGACTCCCACAGAGTTAGACACCCAATTCTGTTGTCTTTTCACCTGTGTGTGAAGAAGAGGCTTAACCAGGAACCCAAGTTCCTTGCTCCCCACATGAAAGGTCAGTGACCCAAGAGCAAGTTGCTGGAATGAAGAAAAGCATTTGGTAAGCCAGAAAAACAGACATTGTTTTGAAAGTGGTAAGAAGGAACAAGGAAGGGGAAGGGGGAAAGGAGGTAAAGAAAGGGAAGGTAGGGAACCTAGCTTTCCCATTGTTAACCAGGTTTTCCTCCCCAGAGCTGTACCACGCTCATTCTGACGCTGTCAACAATGTGAACAAACAAGAGGTGATTCTTAGAATATACCAGGCCACAGAAGAAGACACTGCAGCCACCCCTGATGAGACCTAATTGACTAGGATCAAAGGGAAGGAAAAGAAGACCTCCCCTATCAGTGGACTTGGGGAGGGGCATGCATGCAGAGGGTGGAGGAAGGGAGGGATTGGACAGGAGGAGGGAGGGAACCACGGGATGGGGGGAGATACAAAGTGAGTAAAGTGTAATTAATAAAGAATTAAAAAAAGGATCTATATCCTAAATAAATAAATAAATAAATAAACAAACAAATAAATAAATATGAAGTAATATCCAGCAACAGCCAGAGAAATCTTTAATTCCTTTTAAGAATTATTTTATTCGTTCTCTCTGTGTGTGTATCTCTCTGTCTGTCTTTGTCTGCCTCTGCCTCCCTGTTTATCTCTCCCTCTCCCTCTCTCTCTTTCTCTCTCTCATATGTGTGTTATGCCATGTATGTACAGATAAGCACCGAGGCGAGAATAAGGTATCAGGGCCTTGGAGCCTAAGTTACCTGCTGAACATGAGTTGAACTCTCTGGAAGAGCATCAGACATTTCTAAGTGATGTGCCATCTGTCTAGTTCAATTTCTTTGTGTGTGTGTTTTTTTTCTTTTAATTAAGATGTTACTCAGTGATACTGATAAAGAGAAGGAGGATGTTGAAGCAAGGGCTGGTACGAGAGTCTTGCTTGGCTGTCCTAGTGTTTCATATATTGAAAGAGTTTTAATAAAAAAAATGAGAGAGGGAAGAAGAGAAGAAGAGGAGGGTAGTAAGGAAGGGCCAAAGCAAAGGTGTTACACTGTTGGCCAACCTCTCCTGCTGTTTCACCATCCTCCCTTCATTTTTACCTCATCCTGTCCTGTGGACCCGCTAAATCATGGGCAACCCTCTATTTATACTTTGGCTAGTTCAATAGCACAGCTGGGCAGGAGCTTAGTCCTTCACTACAAATTTGAAAAAGTACTCCAAACATCAGGACAAAACATAGATCTTTAATTCATTCTTTGAACTAAATTGGGTTTACTACCCCATATTTTTGCTTTTAACCTGTAAGCTTGACCATTTTCCTATAGATTTTGAAGCAGATATGTAACCCGACTGTGAATCTCAAGCATTTTCTGGTGGTGCCAGCATAGTTTAAAATGTTTTCTTTAAATGGAGAGTTATTTCCCTACAAGTGTTCAAAAGACATCTGTCTCACAAGTCCCAGTTCTTATTTGTAGGGGAAGAGACTGATGGCAAATGTCACACAAAACTGGATAGAGAGATTTATGGTTGATTTAACTGCATTGAGTCATGTTTTGTTTGTTTATTTGTTGTTTGTTTTAAGGTTGTTTTAGTTGGAGTGACATAGGTACTTGGCAGAATGTTCCCCAGCTGTGTTTGAGGATCAGAATCCAAACCCAAGTCTGTCCAAATCCAAACCCCATGCTCTTTCCCCTGCCTTGCTCTCTCCCATGTCTGCACTGGCACCTTGGTAGCTTGGATGTGGCCCAGGGTCCTAGAGTTCATCTAGGTTGTCTGAGGTCCTGGGCTTGACCCTAACACTACCAAAAAAAAAAAAAAACAGAAAAGGGTCCCTATGTTACCCCTTTGCACCTGTCATAAGGATTTAGCTTGCCTGCTGAAGACAGCAGGTGCATCACAGGGTGCATTGAAGGTGCATTTCCTGGTGCTCCATTGCATCAGCAGCCCTGTGCTGTCAGCTGTGAGCTGCAGAGGTCCAGAAGCCAGACATGAAAGAGCAGTCCTGTTGAGACTGAATTGTGTGTCCAGTAGACAACACAAGAACAAGGATACTAAAAGGTGCATTTTGGCAAAGAGCCCAGGTGATTCAGGATATGCCATCCATCACAGCAAAGTGTCATCATGACTTAACTTTGTATCACCTCAGGTTCTCTGGGAACTCTGTGGTACTTCAGGAAAAGACAATAGCCTACTTGCTAAGGGTGAACTAAAATAACAAGGAAGATCCGAAGGAGCCAGCCTGATGCCCTAAGTTCATGCTAAGCTTGTATGAGTCCCTTTGCTGTTGCTGGAAGCTGGGAGGCTAAAAGGACTGGGGGGGGGGGGTCTTCTGATCCTGAAAGTATGCAAACTGTGCAGCATTTGCAGTGAGGTCCTAAACTCTTTGACTGAGAACACTTTGAGATATTCTATTTTGCTGTCTGGTTCCTCTTTAAGCAATGCTGAAACCTAAACCAAATAACCAGTTAACCAGAACCCTATTAGTACCACAGCTACAAAGAAAAGAGGAAAAATAGCTTAAGCCCAAATCAACCCCATGTAATTAAAGGGCAAAATGCTGGGCAGATGGCCTTTCTGCTCATTCCTTGACATTTGACCTTTCTCCTGATCAACAGCACTCAGAAGAGCAAGGTACTTGGAGAGTTAAAGTTAGAAATCTAAAGCAGAAGCAAAAGTGTCTTCTAAACTTTCCCCATAAAGACAGGAACTGTAATTATTTTAGACAAATTGCTAACCGGTAAGCCTCAGCTAAACAGCAAATTCAGCAAATACTCTCTGGGGCTTAGTGTGAATTTGTCGTGTACTGGGAGCCAAGTAAATAACTGGGTAGCCCTCTAAAGCAGCGGTTCTCAACCATGGGTCACGACTCCTAGAGGTCAAGGGACCCATTCACAGGGGTCGCCTAAGACCATCAGAAAACACAGATATTTACATTATGACTCACGACAGTAGCAAACTTACAGTTAGGAAACAGCAACAAAAATAATTCCTTGGTTGGGGTCAGTACAACAGAACTGTATTAAAGGGTCACAGCGTCAGGAAGGTGGAGAACCACTGAGGCAAAGATTGGTGGGTGAGGTGGCCAGTCCCTCAGAGGCCTGTCTGCCTAGTGGCACATGCTGCCTCTCTCCATCTCCTTGCACAGAGATCTAGGGTGACGGGGAATGTGCCAACCCGCCCGATGCTGCAGTGATAGCTTGCCTTGCCCTTTACATCTGCTTCCATCTGTGATGCGGGGAGCAGCTGTGTGACGGTCCGTGTTTTCATTTCGAAGAAGATCTGTGTGGATTGCCGTGAGCTCCCGAGGCTTTCTGTAATGGTCTGATTCATGCCGCTGACTGACAGCTGCATTTTTCCACAGCCCTCTGTGTAGAAATCGGGATTTGGGTGCTTTTATCATGCTGAACAGCCAGGACCAGGGATCCCTTCCCTTGGGTTTGTGTTTGTGGTTATGCGGAGTCTTGGCTTTCTTTGAAGGTAAGTTATTTCAACTGTTCCCTGGAGTGTTATTAGTTCTGTGCATATACTCTTCTTCCTCATCTTGTCTGAATTAAAATGGCCAGGAGCTAAGTTTAACCTAAGAGATGAAATTTGGAGAGTAGGGTGGGGAAAATATTGAAATATACTGTAAATCATATTTCACTTCTCTAACTAAAAAATGCCTTTCCAAGTAGCATACAGAATTGTCTGTTTTTATAGGTATTTATGCTACCAATATGCTTCACTTATTCATTTGTGGATAAATGTAATATGTATTTTAAACAGTGATTTATTTGTTAGCTAATACTCACGACTCAGCCTGTGAACCCTCCCACTGTGACTGATTGTCCTCATTTGGGAAGGCCATCTCATTTTGTCTATACTAAGCTTGTATGCTTTAAAAGTTGATTCAGACATGGCTGCTACGCGGAGCAGATCACACACGCACATAAACACACATACTCACACATGCGCACACACAGACCCTGCTACTAAGTTTCAGAGGGGCTGATGGAGAGCTCAGCCAAAGAGCCTCAGAGGAGGGAAACGGTAAGAGTATTCAGGAAGGTCTCACTGTCTTCACAAGAAATGTTTTCGTCCTGGTTAATTGCACTGGCTGGAATGACAGGTGACCTGTGAAAGCTTTCTTTCCTGCTGATAGTCCAGCGCTCAGAACTTCTAAGTGGATGAATGAAGCAGCTTTCACTGAGGAACACAGCAGTTTTTTCTGTTTGTTTTGCCTGAGCAGGTTACCAAGCCCATTCCTTTCTCTCTGGGAAATTCATAGAATAATATTTTTTGGAATCAAATCTGAACTGCACAATACAAACTTTAGGAATGTGTTTCAGTGGGGGTGTTGAGGAAGTGAGTTGTGCAAATTGGAGACAAGAAACTAATGCTTTCTTAAAGAATTAAAGATGCAGGTAGCACTACTGTCCAGAATTTAATGGCTTAAAGAAGGTACTGAGAACCAAGTTTCAATTGCTTTTAAAGGATTTTCAGTGAGTTTACTTTAAAAGTTTTCCTTTCTCACAAAGCTCAAAGTGCATGGTTTCAAGGTATGTTTCTTAAAGGGTGTGGCTATTGCGGCTCATGGCAATGATTAGATGCTGTGTTTGCTTGGTGGGGGTTCCAGCAGGTGCCTTGCCAGTTATAGACACACAGACCTCTGGAATCCCTGCAAGGCTTCTAGTCAGGCTGAGAGCTGGGATAAGTGACATAAAAATTTCCGTCCTTGTGGCTTTCTACCCCATGACATTTATGGTGCCCTTGACTTTAGCAGGCAATCTCTCCGGATCGCTTTGTGAACATTGTACCAGTTCTGCATGTAGCCTATGTAGTTGTTCCGTGTCAGTGCAGACACAGTAGGCAAGGCTAGGAAGGGCGGGGTGGAGCTGCCCTAGCACAGGCAGGAGTGGGCCTACCTGGTAGTGAGGAGACTCTGACACCGCTAGCCTTGGGTCCAGGAGAGAAGGCGGCTCAGAGCCACCCACAGCACCTCCCGAATGCCTCCCCAGTGTCCTGTCGCACAGGTTGCACAGGCTGCGCGTCCGAAGAGCAGCTGTTCCACGCGCTGTTTGCGCACTACAACCGCTTCATCCGGCCGGTGGAAAACGTTTCCGATCCTGTCACCGTGTACTTTGAACTGGCAATCACCCAGCTGGCCAATGTGGTGAGTGCCTCAGACCCCGGACCCCTTCCCAGAGGGGCTCATTTCCCAGCATTCCTGCTCTTTGTGCACCTGGTGAGCACAGAATTCTATCAAACAACTTAAAGGTGAACACAGAGTTCCAAGGAACAGTCCCCCAGGCCCTGTGTACTGCTGTCTTTGCTCAGGCTGCACATACAGTGGGAGGGAGGCTTGCCATTCACTGTGGCCCGTGGCCCTCTGTAAGTTCATTGGGAATCATAGTCAAGGGTTGGTGGGACTCTTAGGTTTTCTTTTCTTTTCTTTTTCTTTCTGAACAATCTGCTTTTCCTTACCCCAGGAACAGAAGGTGAAAGGGTCTGACTCTCTAAGACAAGCAGGAGTCTTAGCTCTAGGCCTTGGCTTCAGCCCAAATTGCACTATTAGGTAGACTAGAAAATTAAGGAAATCCTGAAGGGTCGCCAAAGAAGGAAATTAGATGTGGTCCTGAGACCATGCTACACATGGAAGAAGCCTGTCGTCCTCCAGCCCAGCCCAAGGATATGGAAGGCGTCCTCCTGCCCTTCGTAATTTGTCATGTGGGTGAACTGGTATGACTTCTCTAGGCAGATAGATAGATAGATAGATAGATAGATAGATAGATAGATAGATAGATATAGATATAGATATAGATATAGATATAGATATAGATATAGATATAGATAGGCAGACACCTCCAGGCTTTTCCCATCCACACTGCCCAGTGGACTTTGTTGATTCAGCCTGGTCTTTTAACTTAAGCTTAGACCTATGCATACTCTGGTAAATACTGGTTCATGTTTTTAAATCAGATGTTTCTTCTTGCCTGGGTAGACCTGCTCAGCCCCTTAAAACCCGCTTATTCTGTATCTGTTCAGAGCGTGTCTTCATTTTATACTGAGCAGGATGCATACCGGCTGTGGACTGGGCTACTGGAAGTGGAGAAATTACCTTAGTGTCATTTTCTAGACCTGCAGCCTAGAAAGACCATCCCTCAATCCAGCTTGACTTCACACCCCTGATGATGTGCTCTGCAGAGACAATTTTCTTACGATGGCAGCAGGTAGCCTGCATATGTGGATTTTGACATTGACACATGGCTGCTAATACAGTATGTACTGTTACTTGTTCAGGAATACCTGCTTACTAATATATATATACATACATACATAACCAGGTAACAAAATTGTAACCAGGTGTAGGAAACAAACTGCAACCAGGTAACAACCAGGTAACAAAAAAAATGCAACCAGGTATCCAGGTGTAGGAAGCAGCATCACATCATTTTGATTAGCTAGACAAGGCATTTCTAACTGACCTTTAATTTAATTGGTTCTGCAGTTGGACGACTTCATAGTGTGTCCAGGAAACAAAATATACAAAGTTTGGGAAATGAAACCACAGAGACATACTTGGAGGCAAAATGGCTTCTAATATGCTAAAGGTTACTGCAGGTGTTAACAGAGGAGCCATAGTAATGCTAAGAAATAAAGTAGGTCTCAACAGAGGGTCTATGGAATTTAATCAGGTTGCAACAATAAGTGTCATGTGAACAGTTTAAGTAAAGTGAGTTCTGGGGGGGGGGTGTAACAGAAATCTAAAGACTCATAGTCCAAGAGATTAATGCCATCTCTCACCATGGTGTTAATACTGAGCCTCTATGTTTACTTCTGAGGTTTTATACTGCTCCACTCCACAGTGTACTGCTTACATGAGCCATGATGATGAAAGCATAGCCAGAGATGGTGACATACAGACATACAGACATACAGACAAGGCTCCTTCTATCTCTTTTTGCCAGCCTGTACATATTAATTGTTTCTTTACATTGCTTCATGGTCTGACGTAACTTCTCTGTTTCCCTGTTTGTACTCATATTCTCACAAGAAATGGTAGGAGGAGGCAGAGGAGCAAAGGGACACACCTGTAGCTCTTCCAGGCTCCGCCGTAGATGTCCTCCCAACTTTGCCAATATGTGATAAGCTCTCCACCTCTTCAGTTTCTCTAGCCACAGCTGAGATCTGAGGAAAGAAGCTTCGTTTGTTTGTTTGCTTGCTTGTTTGTTTTGAGGTGGAGTTCTTGGGATGGAGCCTACAAAGGCATTGAGCTCTCATAGATTCCTAAGCTGTGTCTACGTAAGTTCTGGGATTCCAAGGATGGTGCACCATTGTACCTGGCACAAAGCAACTTATAAATTGCAAATTTACCATCTTAAATTGTTATAGATTCCAACACCGTGATGGAATCTACCTCATTTTCCCTCCATTTCTAAACTTGGCAGGATTGGCTTCATGTAGGAGCACATACCTGTAACCCTAACAACTGGGAGATAGAGGCAGCAGGATCAGGGATTCACAGATATCCATTGACTAGATAGAGAGTCTAGAGCTAGGCCAAATATATATGAAACCCACCCTGCCTCAAAATATATAAATAAATAAAATATTAATACAAAACCTGTCAGAGAATATGCACACTTGCAGGGCCTTTTCACTCAGTGTTAGTCCTCAGCTTCTTGGTGTGTTGAGTACATCAATATGTGCTCCTTCCTGTGGCTGGCTCATGGTTCATGGTCTTTCGTGGTCCACAGTTTGCTTTCAGGTTGAGGAACATATAGGCTTAATCCATGTTTTGCTCTATGAACATTGGCGGGCAGCATTCAGCCTGCACACTTACCTTCATATCTCTGGGATAAGATTTCCTGGGTCATGTGACAGTTGTCAGATGAGCCCTGACATGCAGTGTGCCTACAAAGCTTCATTACTTTCTAGAAGGGCTTTCAGATCCCTGCCACTATGTAAGTCCCCTGATGGGTCTTGCATCTCTGAGAATATGCACAAAAGTGACTGTGGCCCTACGAGATGACCTCGGCCTGAGAATGCATGGTCTTTCCGTGTAGGAACATGTTCTCTCTCCTCATCTAAGACAGAGAGTCCCGGTGCAACATGGCCAGACCTGACAGCCGTGACAAACCTCAGCCGTGGTAAACTGTTGTCTGCGTGGCCTTTCTAAGCCACATCTCCCAGTTTCTCATAGCTTTTCCAGAAACTAGTGCATTTGAAACCATGATTCAAAATTGTGTACCTGGTGTCAACTAGTATTCTCCCAATAAAGAGATCCGGGTTGCCGGCTCCAAGAATGTGGTGATACCATGTGTCTCTGGCCTCTTCCTCCAGAGGGGCTCACTGAGCACAGTGCTTGTTAGTGTGGTCCAGAGTTACATGGAGACTATGATGTTCCAGACCAAGTCCTGATCCATGAAATTTAAAACACCTCCAAGGGTACATACAGCTCATGAATGTACACCATGTGGCCCTTATCCAACCCATGGAACTGTCTCACAGGGGGCAGGCCTGTTAAGAACGGTATTGATAGTAAGTGTCAAATCCCTGAACACAGCAGACTAGTCCAGAGCTAAATCATGTTTCGGGGAATATGCGGGGCTTAGGCCAGTTAGCTCTAAGATCTCTAAAACAGATGGGACTGAAACAGCAGAAGTTATCTAGTTTTGGGCCAACAGCTAGTGCATATGCTGGTCAAGCCTCTGTTAGACCCTAGAGATTCGAGGTGACTTGACACCAGAAGGCCCTGATCAAGAGGGAATCCCTGTGAAGCTGCGCATCCCCCAGTTATCTAACTCTTCTTGCTGCCCTTTCCAAGTCCCAGGGCCTATGATGACTCTACATGACCCAAGGACATGGAGAAGCTTGTCATGGTCTCTGTTTGGACCCCAACTGGATGGGTAGCAGTAGCCATGGAGTGAAGGAGTGGAGCCCAGGAAGCAGCTCAGTGGACTGGGGGGAGCTTCTGTCAGAGGCCTGCACAGAAACCTCGACAAAGCTGGGTTCCTTCACTCCACAGGGGCCTCTTGGGGAGCGAGATTCTGGAATCTCCTGCTGACTGCTAAGAACATACCATCAATACCCAAGCTTTTCTGCTGTGGCCTACCTGTCACCTAGGTGTCACAGGGAGCTTTCCTTCCGAAGATCAGTGGCCACTTAAGTATCAAGTGAACTGAAGATGGTGACAGGGAATGCCTGTGTACCATGTTCCCTGACTCTCCTTACATGCCATGAAGGGGCTGCTTAGACAGTACCTCCTCAAAGAAGCCTTTTTTGACTCTCAAATAAAACAGATGTGGGTGCACAGATGATCCACTCTACCTCTTTGTTATATCACGATATATTTTACGTATGCACGTGCAGGTGTTATCAGCTTTGTGTCTCCCCAACCAACATCTAAGAGCACATGAAGGCAGGAGCTTTCCTCATTCCGAAACTGAGCACACAGGGGTCAGTAGAAGTGTCCTTCGCAAATGAAGGGCTCTTGGGCTGGAAAAAGAAGATCATAGGCAAGCTTGCTAGTGAGCTGAAGCTGCTGTTTCAGTTTGGATCCCAGGACAAATGCACACAGGATGTTCCAGGCTTCTTTGGGGAAAGGCCATGGGGTAGAGGTATAGAAACAGTGAGCAGCTATCACCACCTATAGCGCTTTTCCCCTCTATTGTCCCTGAACCTCTCTGCCCTCCTTCCTGTTTCCTCCATACATCCAGGAAGCTTTATGGGCTGAGGTGATGAGAAAAGATTCACAGAGGAGGTGGAATCCAAATGAGCTTTGAGGGACATTTTAAAGCCGTGTGCCATTTCTAAGTCAACAGAGCAAGGACGGGCGTAAGAATACCGTATTTCTGTTGTAGTTAAATCGTTTTTTGTATAGTTCTCTCAATCATGTTTGCCTTCAGTAGCACAAATAACTTAGATTTGCCTATTTCTAGCCATAACTCTTGCCTTAAAGACATAGCAAGCATATGGGTGGTTAAAAATATTATTTCTCCCTCCCAGGATGAAGTCAATCAGATCATGGAGACGAACCTGTGGCTGCGTCACGTACGTGTCCCCCATTGAACGTCAGCAGCATGTGTCCCACACACACACAATACCTCGTTCCCTCCCCATCCTACAGTAGCTATAGAGTATCCTTTGCCTAGCCATCTCCTAATCTTTGGGGTCAGCTCTGGTGGCAGACGGCTTAATGCAGACAGCACATGAGCAGGCAGAGCCTGGTGCCTTTGATATAGAGCCCTCTCGCCCTTCTACTCTCTGCTCTCAGATCTCTTCTTATCACTTAACGGAAATCCCAAGTCTGATGCTTTCTTTCCTCTTTGGTAGCTCCAGGAAGTCAGCACTTGATATTTGGAGAACCTAGGTTACATAACCACCCACTGGTTTTTACAAGTTTTACTGCCTCTCCTCTTAAACGTCTGACTAGTGTAATAGACTCGCCCTTTACATACAAATTGTGTTTATCATTAGAAATGTTTGAACATAGTCTGTGAGATATGATGTGAAACCTTAGCCAGATAGCATGTTATAGATGTGCCAAAATCAGCTTAGCTACTTAGCTCCCTGTGCTCATGGATATAATTCCCTGCTTTTGATAAGAAACCAGCATAGTCTTTAAAAACATCCTGCTTTTTAATCAAGAAAATTATTGAACCAACATAAACATTTGGAAAAATTTATGATGAAATTCTCAAAAGTTTTTCTTATCCGTGATTAAAGTTAAAAGGGTGTGTAGGAAGGGAGGGAGTAAAAGGGGGTTGGGATGGAGTTCAGAAAAGACAGAGGGTAATGGTAATCAGGACCCCCAATGTATATGTATGAAATTGTTAAAGAAAAAATTTAACAAAAGTAAATCAAACCAAAAACCAACACCACAAGAAAAGAGCTCTTTATTTCTTTTAGATCTGGAAGGATTACAAATTACGTTGGGATCCAACAGAGTATGATGGCATTGAAACACTTCGTGTTCCAGCAGACAAGATCTGGAAGCCTGACATTGTTCTCTATAACAAGTATGTATGTCTAGACAGATTCGCAGTCAATTTTCAAAATCTGTGGCCCATGTGACCCACAGCAAAGGGGCACACAGTGCTGCTAACAGCCTGTCGTTTTCCTTCCAGTGCCGTTGGTGACTTCCAGGTTGAAGGCAAGACCAAAGCTCTTGTTAAGTATGATGGCATGATCACCTGGACCCCACCAGCCATCTTTAAGAGTTCTTGTCCCATGGACATCACCTTCTTCCCTTTTGATCATCAAAACTGTTCCCTGAAATTTGGTTCCTGGACTTATGACAAGGCTGAAATTGATCTTCTGATCATTGGCTCTAAAGTGGACATGAACGATTTTTGGGAAAACAGTGAATGGGAAATTGTTGATGCCTCTGGCTACAAGCATGACATCAAGTACAACTGTTGTGAAGAGATTTACACAGATATAACCTACTCTTTCTATATCAGGAGGCTGCCCATGTTTTACACCATTAACCTCATCATCCCCTGTCTCTTCATTTCCTTTCTCACTGTGTTGGTCTTTTACCTTCCTTCGGACTGTGGTGAGAAGGTAACTCTTTGCATCTCAGTCCTGCTTTCTCTGACTGTCTTTTTGCTGGTGATTACAGAGACCATCCCATCCACATCTCTTGTGATCCCACTGGTGGGTGAGTACCTCCTCTTCACCATGATCTTTGTCACACTGTCCATTGTGGTGACTGTGTTTGTATTGAACATACACTACCGTACCCCAGCAACACATACCATGCCCAAGTGGGTGAAGACCATTTTCCTTCAGGTCTTCCCCTCAATTCTGATGATGAGGAGGCCTCTGGACAAGACAAAGGAGGCAGGGGGTGTTAAGGACCCCAAAAGCCTTCCCAAGAGGCCTGCCAAGGTCAAGTTTGCTCATCGAAGAGAGCCCAAACTTCTGAAGGAATGCCGCCATCGTCAAAAATCAAGTGAGATGGCCCCTGGCAAGAGAAGATTGAGTGAGCAGCCTGCACAGTGGGTGACAGAGAATTCAGAACACTCACCAGAGGTGGAAGATGTGATCGATAGCATTCAATTCATAGCAGAAAACATGAAGAGTCACAATGAAACAAAGGAGGTAAAAGTATACACCTTTCCTCCTAACTGCACACCCTAACATGCCTACAGACACATTGCAGACTAGTCAGAGTGTCAGTTAGAGTTAAGTTTCCTGTTAACTCTAACAGTGGCTTTGGGCAGCGGCTTCCAAAACCAGCTTTGTTATCATGCAGCCTTGGGGGAACCTGCGTTAGAGTTTAGGGAGCTATAGTGAGATGGTAGGTAGCCCTACAACAAATCTTCAGTCTGCGTTTCCTTACAGTGAGATCCAGCTACAATACACATGCGGGATAAGCTTGCCTCATGGAACAAGCCTTCAACACACCAAAGAGTGTCAAAGTGAGGGTGGGGAGGGAGACTACCTGAGAGAAAGGAGAAATGACTGTGGTGCTGCCTGAAGCCGCAGTAGTGAAAGATGGGATCTCCTTAGTAGTTAGCAGCTCTGATTACACTTATTCTACTAGAGGTGGATACAGACCAGAATCAAGTGCATCTTGGAGATGTGCTCAGCAGGCACACATTCTGCTCCTGTCTCCCACACTCTAACGCCAGTAACTTGGCTCCTCCTTCCCCAAAGCAAGAGCTCAAAGACAACCATACCAGCTCTCCATGCCACCACCTGACTAGCTGAGGCTTCCAGAAGCTCTTGCCAGTGGGTTGCTTCATTCCCTGCATCTATAGCTCCTAGTGAACGGCTATCAGACCCCCAACACCACCTGTCAGTGCTCTGGGAGATACCAAGAATGCCTGACATAACACATGTCACAGGACAGGAATGGCCACTGAGCTCACCTCTAGGCTGGCATCCTTTAGTATGCAGGAGATATTGTTGGCTGATCATGTGTATAACTAAATAATTAGTTCTGTATATACTAATCAATACAGAAATTAATATGACAGCAGTTTTCTTTAACTGGCTAGTTCCCCAATGATTGACAAAGAGAAACTATGATTTATTGTTAATCTGTAGTCACTCTGCTGGGCAGATTCTGAGCTAGTCTAATACTACTGCCCTTAAAACCAACATAAAAACCAATCACTTGCAAATCTGATGACTCCCAGGTGGCTTCTGCTCCATCAACCTGTCCTCATTGCCACAGGCTCATCGTCCATCATGCCCCATGTTTACTCCATGCTCTCTGGCTTCCTCACCTCCTGTTACATCTGCCTACCTCTCTTCTGCCCAGTCACAGGCTTCAGCATCTCTATTAGCCAATAAGAAATAACTGGGGACCATTCCTTACATCACATGAGTACAGGAGGTGGTTCAACACTCATAAAAATGTGCATGGCAGGAGAGTAACCAGATCTCAGGACACTGAAATCAGCATCGGAAAACACAGTGTACAAGACCGTCCTCCAACAATCGTGGCCTGCAGGTTCCCTAACAGACAGCCCACTGAGACCATAGCAGAAGGTTAGACGTTTAGAACTGGAAAGATTCTAGATATGCAACAAGCTTTCCCTGTTAGCATCACTTGGAGGCCTGGAGGCTGCTTATTCCTGTGCAGGGGGGCTCAGCCATATCTCATATCCTCCTGCCTGTTCCTTCACTGCTTCAAACTCAGATTCCCCAAAGGGCCAGGCTCTCCTTGTGCACAAATGACAAGCATTGGTCTCTCAAGTGATACCTTTGGAAAATGTCCCTGGAGCCAGGAAAGAACCTTTGTCATAGGAAAGAGACCACTAAAGTCTTTGGCAAGGTCCATCGGCAGCTCTATGAAGCTCCGGGGATGTATATCTACCCTCCTTACACAATGGAGGGAAATGACAAAGGACACACAGGCAGACAGACAAATGTTATTGGTAAATAATTGATTTTTGGAAGTATTGGAGAAATTTGCTTTGAAACAAACAAACATGTCGTCCTAAAGCATAGCCTGTCTTCCTAGGGTCTTGGTTTTTAAAGCTATCCTTGATCTTTTGTTTGCATTTCAGGTGGAAGATGACTGGAAATACATGGCCATGGTGGTGGACAGAGTCTTTCTTTGGGTATTTATAATTGTCTGTGTGTTTGGAACTGTGGGGCTATTTCTACAGCCACTGCTTGGGAACACAGGAAAGTCTTAAATAGTATTTTCCCTTTGCCTTCTGAATCTTCTAGATGTTATGGTGTTTGTTTGTTTTTGTTTCCTTTTTGTTGTTGTTGTTTTTTGAACTACTTACCACAAGAAAAGGCCAACTACCCAGTTTCCTAAACCAAGACAAGAAGGTCAAGGGTGGGGACAGTACTGCAACCTTAGGAGCCTGAATGCATGTCTTCATTGCCCTGGGTATTTTACCACCTCGGAGCCCAGAGCTGGCAGTGCTCCTAGGCTAGGAGTGCTGACTCAGCTTCTCTATGCTTTGCATGCTTTGTTCCCAGGAACATGAATGACGCCTCACAGAGTTAGGCCTCATAATAAGTATCAGTCTACACTGAAAAGAGATTCTCTTGTATCTGAAGCTCCTGCTGGTTATTGCAATGATGTGAGTGGCTAGAGAGAAACTCTGGAACACTGCTCATGCTTGCAACACCTGTCTACCCCTATGCCATACTCTTGTGTGTGTCTCTGTGATGTGGTCCACACTATCATCTGATGCATGCCATGGGTAAAGGAGAAACCAGATACCATTGCTCTTAGAAGACTATTGAATTTTTGGTACTAGTGGCTTTCTGTCAGGGTGGGAAAAAAAAATCACAGGAGATAATCAACATAAATGGATGAAGTTTATATGAGCTTATAGTTTCGGAGGATTTACTCCATGATCACTAAGCCTTATCACATCGAGACCTTTGGTGAGGCAAACCATCATGGCAGGAGAGCCTAGCAGAGGACCGCTATCCACTTAATGATAGCTACAAAAAAAGAAAAAAAAAGAGAGAGAAAAAGTCTGGGGTGCCAATATTCCTATCAAAGGCACACCCCAATGAATGACTTAAGCTCTTCCTACAGAGCTCCACATCCTAGAAGCTCCACTAGCATGGAGGAATAAGTCTTTAACACAGGTCCTTCATGGTGATCCACTGTTCTGGCAGGACATTTGGCTGGTGCCCAGGACTATGCCAGGTGCTACAGGGTGACATAAATAGATTCTTCTCCTTGTAAAGTTACAGCCTGTTAGAAAAGTCACATATGAAAAGATCCATAGGATCTGGTAGTGGAGAATATAGCTAGAGCAATACAAATGGGAGAACATAGAGCATAATATAGCTAGAGCAATGCAAATAGGAAAAATCGAAAAGCTTTCTTGTGGTTCAAATAGGTACCTGTCTAGCCTTTTCCCACGAACCCTTCACATGCTCACTGCATAGAGACAAAATAAAATCTGTAAGAAATTTTAATCATGTGCCATTTGGAGCAATTTCTTTTCTGAGTGGGAGAACATGGGAATTGTGTCGTGTTCCACTCTGATTACTTTTTTTGTGTGGCTGTAGTAACCTACAGAGGTATCTTAGACAGCAGCTCACGCAGTCCAGCAAAGAAGCTGGATCCAGTTCCATTTGTTCACTCCCAGCAAGTTGTTGTCCATGCACATAGGTAATTTCATGGTTCAATTTTACCTTCTGATCCTGTTGTCTTAATACAATATCAGCAACATTTGGCAGGGCTTAGATGATGGACTATAGAGGAATTTTAATTCAGAATTTGGCTGTTCTGGCGAGAGATCTCATGCAAAGACTTTCTAGGTCTGTGTGACCCAGCTGGAATCCAAACACACCTTTAATCCAGGAGACGAAGGTAAGCAGATCTGAGTTCAAGGACAGCCTGGTATAGAGCAAGTTTCAGGTAAAGAAAAGCTTAGGTCCAGGTATTGTGGTACAGGCCTTTAATCCCAAACAATGAAGGTAAAGTTAGTTTGTAGAAGGAAGCAGCCATGTTTGAAAATAATATTTAATTAAGTGGCAGAAAAAGTGATGAATAAGAGAAAGACTTGACAGAATAGGACATGCCCAACTCTCATAAGACCAGAGAGGAAAGGGAAGATAGTTAAAGGAGCAACACAGAATGAGAAGAGGAGGCATCTTTACCAAGAGAGTTTTGCAGAGAGAGGTTGAATGAGAGAAGAAGCCAGACACAGGTGAAAATAGAAGGAGCCAGCGATGAGGAGACAGTATCAGCGCATATTTCTGGAGTTAGTATGAGGCCAAGCTGAGAGATTCAGGGGCTGAGAGAGAAGCCAGATTGAATACGTCAGCTGGGAGAGGAGTTTGAGCCAGAGGAGCTGAACTGAACGAGCCAGCCCAGAGCTCAGTCAGAACAAGAAAGGCTGAGCTTATTAAGCAGTAAATCTCAGAGGCTGAAAACATTCGAGGCCTAAATTAGATTGCACGGAGGCTGGAAGCTTCCAGGGCTAGGCCCAGGTTAGCAGACAGAGGCAGTAAGCCTCTGAGACAACAACTGAAACAGGTGGATAAAGGTTGCTTTTATAATGGACTGTTGTCTTTGAGAAGTAAACACCTGGTCCCCTTTCAGGAGGAGGCTGCAGAGGCAGCAATGATGGATGGCTTCATGTGCTCTGCCTCACACTGGACAATATAAAAAGGATCTCTGAGATCCCCAGGGATACTGAGTCTCAAAAGTCCCAAAAGTCCTCCGCAGGTTGGGGACTACCTTGGCCTGTGCTATAATAGCGGTCTAGCTACACCAGGTAGGGATACCTAGGGTGGAGCCTCCATCTTCCTGCAGATCTAGGTGGCCAACCATGTGAGCCCATGGGATTGCTTGTTGTTGTTGTTTTTTAATTATAACATTTGTTTTGTTGTGCTATAGAAGTTTTGTTGTGATGTGCGAACAAATTCTCCATCTAATATAAGCATACACATTTTGTGAATTGCATTGAAAGAAAGAAGAGTAAAACTGATCTCAGCGGGGACCAGAGGAAACCCATCTGAATGTCTTCATGCTTGAGTGTTCTGTAATACTTGATGGCTGAGATCCTTGAAATTATCAAATGATTCTCTATTAAACAATCTATCAATACACCTTTAAAAGGAAGTATACCACATTTGGGGTGAGAGGGAAGCCACATTTATTCAGAATAACGGAAGAAAGCATGGACTAAAAAAAAATCTGTAAAGGAGCATTAAATAAATTGCTAAATACATATTTAGGGGTTTTAATTTTTAGAATATTCCTTGGTCACTACCACCTTATTCAGTGTGGCAACGCCTCTCAGTCAAATCCGAAGCTCACTGGTCCACTACCAACTTGTCTCAGGGATGGCCTGTATCTGCTTCCTAAGGCTGGAATTACAGGCAAGCTGCCATTCCCACCTGACATTTACCTGTGTTCCAGGGATCCAAACTCTGGTCCTCTTGCCTATAGTAAGTGCTTTAGCTGCCGAGGCACCTCCCTAGCTAATTGATTTTTGTTCTACCAGTCTGAATGAGTTAAGAATCAGTAATTCTTTCCCAGAGATCTTTTGTATGCACTCTCTCTCTTTCACACACACACACACACACACACACACACACACACACACACACACACACA